CCCCAAAACCCCAAAACCCCAAAACCCCAAAACCCCAAAACCCCTTTAAGAACAAAAATAACTGAAATTTAGCTGAAGAAGAGAAGAAGAAGATCTAGTCCTGATGATTGGACATTCTGCTAGAGGCTTTGCCATGAGATTCAGGAGTTCTGTAGTTCATTGCTGCAGGAGTCCACTTATCATTTCTCCATCTCTTTCTGGCAGAGAATCCTCTTCTTTGGTAGCCATTATCACTAAAGTGAGAAATTAGATATGAAAATCTAGGAGCTTACTTTGAGTAGAAGGAGCCTAAGCTATCGGATCTTCTTCCAAATCTATAATCATGAGTTAGAAGAAAAACAAAGAGGCTAAAATAACTAAGCTTACCTTTGAGGTGGACCCTGGCTCATAGCATCAAATCTTGATCTTCTGTCCTGCACCCACTGATTTTGGTATCTTCTCGGCTTGTAAGCACTGCCATAGCGATTACCAAATCTTCTTCCTCTGAATCCTCTTCTTGGATTGAAGTTTGGACCTTCATCTAAAAGGCAATTAGAAGTGGATAATGGAAAGAGCTTACCATAGAAGTCATCATAATCCCTTGGACGTTCATATCTTGGCCAATAACTTCCATATCTTAGGCGATTATTGCCATAATACCCTCTTCTGTAATTGTTTCTTGGAAATCTCTGAGGGTTCACATTGAAGGGTCTCTCTTCTCTTGGGATAGGATCTTGATAGCCTATATTTTCTTTATCAAGAGGCTCAATTGAGAGGACTGTTTCAAAGACTGACATCCTTCTCTTTCCTCCTCTGCCTTGCCCTTCTCTCTTGTCGTCAACTTCAACAGAGTAGATGTGATTGGTCTGATGCAGGTCACCAATCCTCCTCTTCAAGATTTCAGTAAGATGAAGGACCTTGCTCGTGGCTGTTCCTGCTCCCTTCAAGATAAGAGTCTTCTGGTTGTTCCTGAACATCTTGATGGCGTACTGAACATACCTCGCCAGTCCAGCCTGAGCCTTTACTTTGATCTCGTTCGTTGGAATTCCTTGGAAATTTTCAACTGAATTCATGAATAATATTATTAATTTTCATTGTGATTATCTAAAATAGGGGTTTTGGGGTTTTGGGGTTTTGGGGTTTTGGGGTTTTGGGG